GTGTAAGAAATCCACAAGATCGAGTCGCCCGTAGGACGCGGCGACGATCGCCGTACGCTGTACGCTGCAAAAGCCGAGCGCGCTCAACGATACAAAGGTTGCGCGCGTGCCGTACTTGGCGGCGCACGAGAGAACACTTGGGGCGGTCGCGTCGAGAGCCAATAGCTCAGAGCATTTGTGCGTCGCGTAGGCCAGTGCGAGGTTGCTCCGGCCAGTAAAGAGAGCCCAGTGCAGCGGAAAGCGCGCGTCGAGCGCATCGAGAAAGAGCTCGCCAGACCACACGTCGCGCTGCTCGTAGCGCAAGGCAAAGCGGATGCCGGGTACGTCGACCCACTCGAAGGCCAGGTCGACCTTCCACTCGTGGTCCAGGCCCAGTAGCGACAACGGAAGGCCATTCTGGTACCTCGTCATGAGGCGAAGAAGGCCGTCGTTGGTGAGCACAGAGATAGCTGCGGCTCCCATGGAAGAAGCCAAAGAAGAAGTCGCCGAGGCGCAGCGAATCTTGACGTATCTTTTGGCGCGGCTGACACGCATGTGATTGGTCAACGCCGAAACGAGTAAAGACACGTGTTTTTCGACGCTTGGAGGTTAAACACGTTTTTATGACGATAGGTTTCAGCGCGACCTGGAAAAGCAAACGCTGGTGCTGAAGAGTGAACTCGATCGATTGGGCCGTCGACAGCCTTGTAGCTTCGCGAATGACGCTGGTACGGGCGACCTTGAAGTGCCAGCGACGAGCAATGGCCACGAGGTTTGCGTGTTCTTGGCGCTTAACCCCTGACGCCAGGTAGACATACAGCGTGTTGCGTCGACCTGGCGCCGCGCTTGCGCCTTTTGTACTGCCAGCTGTAAACGAATTGCAACCAGCTACCACGGACAGCTACAACTTGCTTCAAGCAGCGCCTCGTCGCACGAGCGTGCGTGGCGTTTCGCACGCGAAAGAACCCGGGCAAACCCGAGACCAAGTCGCATGTCCACACACTTGGATGGGTGAATGGATGTCAATACCACGTATCCTGCTCGCCGCGTGATATTGTTGCCCGCGCGATGAACGAAGACGTTGAACGCATTTAGCGTCATTGGGTTAAACGAGGTCAAACTCATCACGTATCCGCCGACTGATGGCAATAACGTTACCGGTACATCCATGAACGCACGCGCATCTGCCACGACGATGTGATATCCTTCGATGCTTTGCACGTTACTATGTGGTCCCTCGCGGCAGCTTCTGCTTGCTCTTGCTCGACTGAGGAAAGCGGTATTCGATCGTTTGGCGACAGGACGCTCGAACACCATCACACCTCGACCGCTCACCGTGCTGGTATCCGTAAAGTGGAATACGGTCAAGTACACTACACAATCCACAAGGGTACACCCTTGGTATCCAACACGCCATGCTGTTATAGCCTCATAGCGCGCCCACATCCACGAGCGCATGCGAGCAGACGCAGCTCCAACGCCACGTCGGTCGCGCCACTTGACAAGGGCGTGGAGTAAATTACATTCCCCTCTGTACCACCAACCTTCTCGATGTTTTACGTGTCACCAGTCTTTGACATGCTCAACCAGCTTCGCACTGCAGTATGCGCGTCTGTCCTGGCACTGGGCGATCTTCAAGAGCGCGCCGCCAACGCCCCCAGGGGTACATATTATGTACCCCTGAACGCCCCTCAGCAACGACCACGATGATTCTCTACCGCTTCTGCAATACCATCTATGCTACTTGCCGTATAAGCAGAGTGTCT